CCAACTCCATTCTGATCTAATGCTTTGCTAGTGTTTTAACACCTGATGTATTGGTGTGTTGAGAAATGTGTTCAAATATGTAAATGAAGACATGCATGATCTGTCAAGTTTTGTTTGATTCTTTCTTGCTGGTCTTCCAGATCAGTGAAAAGCATGGGGTTGGAAAGTGACAGCAAAATAAACTGGAGAAAAGGAGGAAAATAAAACTGAAATGAGCACTAATCTATTATATGAAGGCAGAATTGCTTTTTTTTGTGTGTGTGTGTGTGTGTGTGCAGGGCTGGACTGGCCATTGGGCATACTGGGCATTTGCCCGGTGGGCCGACGTGCTTTGTGGGCCGTTACATCTCATACTTAATTTATTTTTTATTTTTTGTCTGAACGGCCCATAAAACTCGTACATCGGCGGCCCATTGCGTTTAGTTTTGTTTAATTGGCGGCTCTGGGATCTTTGTGCCGGTGTAATGCATTGGACAAAAAAGTCAGCGTAGGTTTTTCTTTTTCTCACAGACCGGCGCATGATGAAACGCGTAAATCAGCAGCCCATTGGTTATTTTCTTGATTGACACTGGGCTGGTCCAATCACATCTTTAAACTCCTCCCCCTTTGAGCTCTGAGTGAGCGAGCAGTGTCAGTGTGTATCTGTCAAAATAGTCAGAGCGATGGAGAAGAAACGCAAGGAATGTGGAGAGAAATAGCGTGAAAAAGAAACTTCAAAGGCCCTTCAAGTGTCTGATGAGGATAGCGAGGAGGATAAGGAGAGAGATGAGTGAGTGTAGAGAACTGTGGTAAGCAGAACTAGGCTACTGTCACAACACTTATGGTGTGTTCACACCGAACGCGAATAGAGCGTCAAATACGCGTCTATCGCGTTTAGTTAGACGCTGAACATTCGCTCGAGTTCAAAATTTTCAACTTGCGCGGAGGACATTCGCGGCAAACGCGTCGACCAATTCGCGTCATTCGCAACGCCCGGCGCGAATGATGCGTCTATTCGCGTCGTTGCATTGACTTTGTATGTAATCTACTCGCCCAAATAATTAAATTCGCGTTCGGTGTGAACACACCATTAGGCTATGTAGGAACCCACTACCCAGTTACGCATTATTTACACATCTGCATATTTGACGATTACGCATTTTATTAGAATTGTAATGAGACAATGAGTAATGAGTTTGTAAACCATATTTTTCTTCAAAATAAAAGCTCGATGCCGTTTCCATCAAAATAAAAGATCATGTGCTTATCTCTGTATTGAGAGTGAGGAGTCACGTGCCGATTTGGGCGGGGTCTGAGCCGGTCGGCCATGATGGTAGGAGACGTTATCGGTTGCCAGGGGCAACGCCTTCAGAACTTCACAGAGGCGGACTAAAACATTCCAGAAATAGCGAGAGAGAGAGACAGCGCAGCTTAGTATTTGTTTACATTTTACATTTTACCGATACGCCGCAGTTTCTTTGGAAGATATGGAGAAGGAAGAGAAATGAAAGGGGTTTTATCGGGAGAGACTATAACAATGCTAGCCAGCTTAGAGAAACTGCTTGTCAATAAACTGACAGCAGCGGCGCTGTCAGCGGCGCAACAGCGAGCAAAGCATGCTTTCAAAAGCAACACATTTCAGCACAGTTCGCCTTTTATTTAATACAAACGAACGAAATTAATACTCTGTTATTCATCTAGAGTTGTTTCATTTGTTATAGATATATCTGTACCGCGAAATGTTTTAAAAAGACACTTTTTTTAATGACGTACGATTCGCATTGACAGGGGAATGTCCGATCTGTTCGCTTAACGTTGCACGGCAGGTGCAAATGCACGTATCTGATTCATATCAGATTTATTTCCACATATGAATGAGGCCTGAAACATCAAGTATGACTGAACTCTCGCAGTTTAACGTTACAGGTTTGGGGGTTTCTAAGTCTTGCACCCAGCCGCAGCAGACTTGTTAAGCTTCTAATGACTTAAACCTTCTGAACTCTTGCATTGTGTAGGCAGTAACGTTAGTCACTGATACCATAAACAAACCAGGTAATTAACTATGTCAGCGTATGTGAAAGGTGGTAGTGCTTTGGGTCTTTCGTCCATTCTGTAGCAGGTCGTACGGGTCCATGTTGATGTCAAGTAGTTTCTCTAAATAACGCTGCTTGGTGTTGTTATTTAGTCTCTCCCGATAGAGCCCCTTTCCTTTTGCTTCCCCGTTCTTCATTTATTCCCAAGAAACTGTGCCTTATCGCAAAAATGCAAACAAATATCAAGCTGCTCTCTCTCTCTGTCGCTATTTCTCTCGGTCTCACGGTCGAAGTAACCATGACAACGGATAGCGTATCCTACCAAGATGGCGAATCCTTCCCACAATGCAACGCGGAGTGATACGCGTGACGTCACCTTCTCATTATCAATAGAAATTAGTACGAAACTAATTATGAAAGTTGCTTTTATTTTTCAGTGCATTTGTTTTACAACATATGGCTATTACTGCCATGGGATTAATTTTATAACTATTATTATGTAGTAGTGTAATGTAGTCAGACACTATATCACAACTAAAAGAGTTTTGAGTTTTTCTTTGTTCAATTTGCACACTGAATATTGGTTTTTGGAGCTCTTTATTTTTAACTCTCAAAGTGCACCAGATTGATGAATTTAACATTAAAAAGCACAAAATTTTCTTACGGGGGAGCATGCCCCCGAACCCCCCTAGAGGGACAGAGGTGCACTCACCACAGATTTCACAAAAACCTGGGGGAAAAACCCGTATTGCTATCCCAGCTTATAGCTTTCTTTAGGATTCATCACTGTGGAGTATAGTTCAACTTAGTAGTTATTTCATCGGTTAACTCCTACTCACTCCTATTCACGTGCAAAGTTTGGTTGTGTTATATAGTGGGCCAGTCTGGGCCAAAATGCCCGGGCCGATTTTTTGTCCCAGTCCAGCCCTGTGTGTGTGTGTGTGTGTGTGTGTGTGTGTGTGTGTGTGTGTGTGTGTGTGTGTGTGTGTGTGTGTGTGTGTGTGTGTGTGTGTGTGTGTGTGTGTGTGTGTGTGTGTGTGTGTGTGTGTGTGTGTGTGTGTGTGTGTGTGTGTGTGTGTGTGTGTGTGTGTGTGTGTGTGTGTGTGTGTGTGTGTGTGTGTGCTGATTCACTCCCATGTTTGACTTGTAAAAAAGCAGCTACTATTATTTTGTTTACAAAACATCTGTGAAGGTCTTTGTGACCTATTCAAAACCACCTGTGACGATCCCTGTAGTCACTGAACTCACACAAAAATATTCTTGTAGAATGTATTAAATTAGCAAATCAAGACATTTCAATTCAACTGGATAAGTCTTGAGCTCAGACAGACCACAAACATACAGCTCCCCTTGTGTGGTGTTCCTGTTCCAGGTCATACAAGAGTATCAACAGTCTGGTATGAATCTTGCAGAAACACGCCATGGTTCTTTTGATGCAATGCTACTTTAACTCTTTCCCCGCCAGCGTTTTTGAATAAAAGTTTCTAGTTACCGGCTATACAGAATACCGGAATACGCAATAGGGAAACAGAGAACCTGTTTTATTCTAGCTTCATGTATTCCTTAACACTTAAATGTGGGTAAGTTTAATGAAAAAGCAATATTTTGAGCAAAAAGCTGAGAAAATCGCATTTTTGTCAAAGATACAGATTCAGAACGATGATCAAAACGTAGATGGAGTAATATCACGTCTATCAACACCCCCAAAGCTTAACTCCTATAGCTCGTCCTGGGTTGACATTTTACAGTAATTCAGTAACATTACTAGGTAGTTTTGATTTACATGTTGTTTAATGTTGATCGCATTATTTTACATATGCATCTGCTTTGAAATGATATCCCTTGTTTCTGCTTCTTCACATGTCCTTTGATCTGGAGATTCTGTACTCTTTCAGAAGACGCGTAATAGCAACCATAGATAGATAGATAGATAGATAGATAGATAGATAGATAGATAGATAGATAGATAGATAGATAGATAGATAGATAGATAGATAGATAGATAGATAGATAGATAGATAGATAGATAGATAGATAGATAGATAGATAGATAGATAGATAGATAGATAGATAATCCAGTCAGTGAAATTCAGAGAAAGATGCAAACAAGAACAGGTCAGCTATCTAACAAATACCATATTTGCATTTTCTTAATGCCACATAGTGTATCACTTTTCAATAAAGCAAAATAGCAGACTATAGTCAAGTACCAAGAACAATTAAAAAGAAAACAACCATATGAAAAAGAAAACAATTAAAACTATCATGGAGAATTGGAAAATAAAATCCATGCCTGCTTATCTCAGAGTATTGTACAGATTAATGATAATTATATTCACTCTTTCTTTGCTTTAACATCAAATAATTTAATCTTGAGACTCAGTAGCAATACATGGACATGGTAAAATGTAGATCCATATTTTAAAACAATATATGTTTACCAATATGTAAATCTCCAATAGGGTCCTGATCATATTTTACAGTCTATATTTGTCCCAATAATAGGTTTTGTATCTTTATTGTATGCTATGAATAAATGTTTTAAACTGACATTGCAGTGATGTCTGGTTTTTCTTTCATATATTACATACACATTCTTATTTTATTGACCGCCATATAACAAAGTAACTTGAACTAAATGTAACTCAGTTGAGATTGTCCATGTTTTTGTTGGATTTTGATATCAACAGTTACAGTTAAGATTTGACTCATTGTAGTGTCTAAACGATCGGATTTACTGTACGACCTTTGTTTGCTTCAAACTACAAAAACATTGAACAACTTGAATCGTCCACATAAAGTGCAAAGCATTTCTGTCATATTCATAAAATGAGAAATGTAGACAAAATATTGGCTACATCTGAACATATGTCAGTAGTCCCAATTGCATGATGGGGATGGAAACAAATGTTGCAAGATGCCTGTGAAGGACACTGTGTCCTATTCAAAACGACATGATGCTGACATGTGTCAACCAATCGCTGCAACATAGAGATATTATAATCATCACACATGCAGGCTTGGTTCAGATGCCATCTTACTCCAAACACAAGACGACGTGAGCTTTGACACTGCAGACATGAATCTGATAACTGCACTGCTGTTTTTTCTCTCAGGTAACATATCTTTTGTTATTGCAATTTTATAAGTGGACCATTTAAAGTGTTGTAAATGAGTTTAGTCTGTCATTCCGTGTTTTGATGCATATTTTCTCTTACAGGTCTTCTTGGGGGTTACTCTCTTCTTCCTAGGCAGTTCTATTATGTATCTAATCTGAGGACTTGGACAGACGCTCAGAGCTACTGCAGACTGAAATACACAGATCTGCTTTTTGTGTACAATGAGGAGGATCTAAAAAAAATGGCTTCTCTTCTTCCTCTTTTTGATTATAGCAAAGCATGGATCGGGGGGTTTGATCTGTATTCTGAGTCTGAGTCTGACTCACAAAACATTACTGATTCACAAAAAGAGACTCAGAACTGTCTCGCTATAAACACTGATTCCTGGAAACTGACCAAAAAGAGTTGCACACTGACATCTTCATTTTTCTGCAGCCAAAGTGAGTATATCTCTCTGCATTTTAGCAAATGTAATGGTAAAATTAGATCTAAACATATTTCGATTTCTTTGATGTTCGTATATGCATGTTTGTTTACCTGTGTCCTTAGGTCAAGGCAAAAGGGTTGTGTTGCGAATTAAATTGAATCCTGGTGGACAACTGGACCTCAATGACCCTATAATAAGATCGAACATGTTAGCTAAGGTAAAAGTGATTTCTTCTGTGTGTTCTGAAATGCTCAGAAGCCATTTTTTTTATTGTCATCATATCAAAATAGCATGATGAAATATAGCAATATATTTGTTAAAAGTGGTTTTGTTATTCCATTTTAGAACTTTTTTTCTTTCAGATCAACGAGAAATTCAACGAAATTGGGTTTGGTGATGCCATCAAAATACGGTTGATCACAAAGCGAGAAACACTGAGGGGGAAAGGAGTGGATGAAACCTGCACATAGTTATAATTAGGCTATTATTATTTTAAATTCATTTGTAAAATACAATTGCAATAATTTCTTATATGCTAATGACTAGTTATGCCATTCATTGTATAATTTACACACTGTAAATTTAGGCTATACCAAAGCCCGTCTACACATTCTCTGGCTATACTGTAGGCAATACGGAGCATTTTGGGTTATCAATAAATTAAGCAAGGTTTGTTAGAAAACCGTCACTTCATATTAAATGAACAGTAGATGTATTTATCTTTTTCTAAAACAACTATTTTACTATTTTATTCATAAAATTTATATGATTACTTACAGGAATCTTGAGCTTTTTGAAATACGTAGGCTATGGCTTCTGGTTCTGATGGTCAACAGCAGAGACTATTTGTCAACAGGCATCGGAAGTAGCGTGAACTGCAGCGTTTTCAGCGTTCGGATTGTTTTCATCGTAACCAGGGCTTGACATTAACAATTTTGCCTACCAGCCACTGTGGCTAGTGGTTTTCCAAAGTTACTAGCCACTCAGCATTTTCACTGCCCACAATTTTGAAATCGATGCCATATGGAAAAACTGCCATATATATATATATATATTTTATATTATCTCATAATTTTGCAATCGGTATATTAGGCTGCTGTTACTTTAAGACCTGACGCACGGACACATTATACTGTTTTAGGTTAGCCAATATACTTGTCTTCATGCACACTTTGGGTGTGAGCACAAAATCTGTGGGAATGAGTAAAATTATGCTCAATACGTGCAATCCCTCGCCAAAATTCAAGCCTTGGAACACCGAAGCAAATGAAACGAGTGAGTAAAGGGACGCGGTTTTTGTGTCACTCGCTGTCGGAGAGACGAGAGCGTGAACGCGCAGCTGGTATTTTGTGTCCTGCGGAAGAGTTTCAGATATTACAGTATCGGTATCGAAAAATCTATATTTTTGACAACACTAGATAGCAATTAGTTTATTATTTCAGATGAAAAATGTATATTATATAAAATTCAACCCGCCAAAGTGGCTAGTAGGAGTGACTGCGTTACACGCCACTGGCGGGTGTTAATGTCAAGCCCTGATCGTAACTGTGCAGTAAGAGGGATATAGTACAGGCAGTCGGTCGTTACTGGAAATTGAATGGTGTAAACTGTGAATTTAGTCATTTAATTATGTTTTCTTTTAGTTGTCGTTTTAGGGACAATCCTTATATCAGTCAGCAGAGGGCGCTATCACACAGATTTCCATCACACAGATCACGGCCGTATTCACGCTCTGCACGGTTATATTAAAGCCTGCTACTAGTATAGAAATATTGTTATGAAAGAACTCAATTGAAATAAAATGTATTAATTAAAAAAAGTGAGGTTTTTTTTCACGTGCCTACCAGAGAGCAGCAGACCAAGAGTCAGTGGCCAGTTCAACAAACTTGCACACAGAAAATACTTATTTGTGCTGCTATTCAGGTCAGGAAAAACAAAGAAATTGCGTACAATATTAATAAAGATAAATCGTAAAGGTGTGTGCATCAAAGGCATTATAAAACAGACTTTTGTGGCTTTTTGTTCTTATGCTAGTCTCATACCACAAGGGTTCATTGATTTGGCTGGTTAGCATGTCCCTGTTTAACCCCTTCAACCCCTTCAAGTAAAAAAAAAAAGGAAAAAGTTCAGGTTCTTTCCTGAATAGGCCTACTAAAAGTGAGCACTAATAAGGGATCATATGCACAAAATATTATGTAGAAAACAATTACAGCTAGAATTGTCAATGATCATCACAGTCACAATATCGTATTAGTGCTCTGTATCAACAATAATACCTCGTGCCAAATAGCTTTTGGGTGTTAACTGGGTAAATACAATCATTGCATGTAATAGTTTGTCGTGTGTATAATCTGAAAGCTATTCCATGCAATTTTAAAACATATCAGCAGTGGGCCTAATCGAAAATGTATGTCTGTGACGCACATGATACGGCATTCTGAGGAGGAAAAAAGCAAACCCTGCCCACCATCTGCGTCAAGTCACACCATGTGTGGTTTCCAAGCGTTTTCACAAATGTAGGATTCTGAAGCTCCCACCTCCTACATGATAGCACAGTCGATTCAATTCTACAATAGTGACATCTGATTGATGCTTTACTTACTTTATTTGTTTGACCAAGTTTCCTTGACTTTCAGGCCACATTGGGATTTTTTTCATTAAATTAAACCTGCACTGTAAAAAATGATCGTGATTTTAACGGTAAAACACTGTAAAAATGCTACAGTGAAAAACTGTTAATTGGTTAACAGAAAGTTTCCTTACTATATATACGGTAAATAACTGTGATATATATAATGGTACATTTAATTTAATTTTACTGTAAAATACCGTTAAATTTACAGTTTTTGGAAGTGAAAAGTCAAATAAAGTTTTAGGATTTGCAAAAATGTTGGCGTCAGTATCAAATGATTATTCTGTCAATGCCAGCTTGGTTGCTTGCTGTCATTAAGGCAAAAGGGGGCATACCAAACACCCCAAAAAAATTGTTACATTTTAATGTAAAATTTTTACACTTTTTGTATTAAAGGGGTACATATTAAATGCTAAAGAAAATTGAATAAACATGCAAGTCTTTTTAACATTTTACCATTTTTAACACATAGCCTTCATACATAGGCCTACATTATATATAGGCCTATGTGTGTATAACACTGGTTGAGACTTTTGTTGGATGATTTGACTTCATTGACTGACATGAAAACTACAACACGTGTAATGATTCAGTGGGCAAATGAAGGATGCCAGAGCCGTGGGTGTGTGTAGGAGTGTGGTGGTGCGGGATTGTGTGTGTGCAGGGGAGGTGAGAAGATAAGCATTTTTAAGTGGGTGAATTGTGATGCATTTCCGCCGGTTCATTAGGTGTGGGAAGCAGAAACACCTCTCTGTGTTTAGACTAATGACTTGATATGAGCATGAATTTTTAGAAAGGGAACTCTCCTTTTTGCATCAGCGCAGATCCATGATGCATCCTGGCATCATTCATTACAGGAAAGAACTGCATTTTGTTCAGAATCTGTGAGTTTTAAAGTTGCTATGAAACGGAAGTAGTGTCAGATCTTCCCCTTCGTATTGTGATGTACATCCGAGTTTGACAGAATAATGAAAAAGAAAAAAATTTAGGATGTGGACTTACTGGATTTTAAATATGCAAGTATTTCACTGGAAAAGGGAGCTATGAACATGAGCTTGCAAGGACGGGTTTAACAGACAAAATGATTGGAGAAGTCCAGCATACGTCTACAGAGACTTGGACAAACCTGTTGTTTTCAACAGAAGATCTAATTGTGATTATAACAATTGCAAGATTTAAAAAAAACATACACATGGATGAACTGTTCACAATAAGAGCTAAAACAGAGATCTAAAACAGCGCATGAATTTTAATTTCATGCCGACTTTAATCTCTTATTCAACATTTAAATGGGCTATATGCAAGAATTGTCATGTATTAATCACTTTTATGTTTTGTTGCCTTATTTCAGAAACTTTTTTTTTCAATAACCATGCATAAACATTATTCTCTCAAAAATACAAACATGTTGCTCACATATTATGGTATCCTGTTTGTGCTAAATAGAGTGTAATGACATCTTTGCCATTAATATGTTTATAAGCAACTGAAAAAAAGCACAAATGTCAGTGCATGTCAAAACATCTCAAGGACCCCAAAACACCTAAGACCCCAGAGGGTTAATGACACATGAAATGAATTGAATGCTTATTCAATGTTCAAGATAATACCGACCGAAAGAGCCATTCTGTACTGTAATGTCAATATGTCATACAAATAAAAGGGATTCATTCAAATTTAGCAAGATCTATAATAACCCATAAGTGTAATCCTGTTCATGGAGATCTACCTTCCTGCAAAGTTCAGCTCTAACTCTGATAAAAAACACAACTGAATTACAAAGGACACAGCTTAAAGGTAGGTTGATCTTCAGGAAGAGGATTGGGCACCCCTATATCTATAGCTTCAAATATACTTTAGAATCAAACTATCAAAATATTGTAATTTTATTTACCTCATCCGTCGGGTTGGATATCCACATCGTCGCTATGCTTTCTTAATTGCTGCGTTAAAGGTATATATAAAAAGGTATTTTCAACTTCTTTTTACTTCTAAGCAAAGAACGAATACAAACTTCGCCGTGAGTAATCGGGACCTTGCATTATTTAAATAAGCTACTTTAGTAGGCTACTTGATTCAATTTAGTTAAAAGCCGTAATTGTTTACACTGGTAAAATGCTGTATTTCAGTTAAGTATTTAACATAAATGTAGCCTACAACATGCTGTATCATTCTGTGATAAATGTCCTCATTAAAGTAAAAAATACCTCTCAAAATCAATTTCAAAGTCAGATGGATAGTAATTATAGTTGGTTTTCTTTAGCACAGATTGCACAGCTTGAAATGTCTCTCTCTCGTGTCTTTATCTGTTTATTTCTTTGTGAGCTAAATATTGTGGGTGATAATTGAATTTCAATATCTTTTTGATACCTGTCAATTGAAATGCATAATATAAGCATCGTCTTATATAGGTTGCATGAATTTAAAGAAATTGTTTTTGTTGGCAACAATAACCACAGAGATTTCTAGATTGCAAAAGTTTCCAGCAGTCTGAAGCAAATCTATTCCATTGAATGTTTTCGATAGAAATACGTTTAAAGGTTTTCATGTCGTCCTCCTCATCGCCCATCCACAGGACTCCATTCACTGACTCACGGTTCCTAAGCAACATCCGCAGGACACATTCTGCAATAATTCAACACAACATAAGTGATGCTTCTCTGAGGTCAGAGCATCTCTGCTCTGAGTAATGTTTTTTTTTTTTTTATTATTATAAAATAATTCCTCTACCACCACATGTGAGCAGCGGCAACAATAAATGATTGCAAGAACATTGTGTAATGCAACATGCTGCACCACAGACACGAGTGTGAAAAACGATATCCAAATAAAGGATAGATATGAAAGCACACAACCTGTTCACACTTTTAGAAAAAAGGTGCTGTGTAGAATTAAAGGATTTTGCAGACGCTTCA